AAAAAAAGATCACTTTCAAGTTGTTCAAGAGCAAAGATGTCACTTTGAGGACTAAGGTGCGCCTGACTCAAGCCATGATAGTTTTAATTGCCTCCTATGTATGTGAAAGCTGGACAGGGAATAAGGAAAACTATAGAAAAATGAACGCATTTAAATGATGCTGTTGGCAAAGAATATTGAAAATACTATGGACTGCCAGAAGAACAGATAAATCTGTCTTGGAACAAGTACAGCCAGAAGCCAGGATGGCTAGACTTCTTCTCACATTGTTTGGACATGTTATCAGGAGGGACTGGTCCCAGAAAACAGACATTAAGCTTGGTCAAAAAGAGGATCAGTGAAGATGAGGAAGAGCCCATGGGACAGACTGACACAGTGGCGGCAACAATGGACGCCACCAACAACAGTTGTAAGGATGAGGCAGGACTGGGCAGTGTTTCAGTCTCTTGTCCATGGGGTCACTATGAGTCCACAGAACCTAACAACTGTAACAGGAGGGTCCAGAGCAGCCTTTTCCCTAAAGCTAATAGTCCTGTTGTTGTTAGGTGCTGTGGACGCACAGCAACCCCAAGGACAAGAGACTGAAACACTGCCCACTCCTGCCTCATCCTTACAATCACTACTAGGGCTTGAACCTAGGATGGAAGAACTAAGTTGGTCCATCTTGTTGAGGTCTTCCTCTTTTTCGCTGACCCTCCATTCTATCAAGCATGATGTCCTTCTCCAGGGACTGGCCCCTCCTGATCACATGTCCAAAGTGCACGAGATAAGGTCTCGCCATCCTCACATCTAAGGAGCATTCTGACTGTATTTTTTCCAAGGCAGATGTATTCATTCTTCTGACAGTCCAGGGTATATTCAGTATCCCTTGCCAACACAAGCCAAAAGGTTAGAATTTCCAGTCTACCCAGAGGCACCTCAGAAGAAAGGCCAGGCTATCTACTTTAAAAAAAAAAATCAGCCACTGAAATCCCTGTGGAACAAAGCTCTACTCTGACACCCACGGCAAACGGGTATTCTGAGATAAACACTTGTACATACATTGTTTCATATGATTCCAAAAGGTGTTCTCTTTGTGGGAGAGAGATGACTGTTACTACCCATTTCACAGATGGGGAAAAAGAGGCCTCTGCCCCACAGCTGGTCATGGGAGGAGCCGGTGCAAAGACAAGTCTCCTAGCTCCTCCCCCAATATCCTCTTCATATTCCCAGAAACCACGCATTACAGATTGAACCATGTCTCCCAAAATACATTCAAGTCTTTCCCTTAGTATCTGTAAAGGTGACTTTGTTTGGAAACAGGGTCTTCAGAGATGCTATCAGTTAAGACCAGAGAAGAATCAATGCCTTTGAATTATGCTGTTGGCAAAGAATATTGAAAATACCATGGACTGCCAGAAAAACAAACCAATCTGTGTTGGACGAAGTACAACCAGAATGCTCCTTAGAAGTCAGGATGGCCAGACTTCATCTCTCATACTTCAGACATATTATCAGGAGGGACCAGTCCCTGGAGAAGAACATCATGTTTGGTAAGCTGGTGGGTCAGTGAAATGGGGTGAAACCCCCAATGGGAAGGATTGATACAATGGCAGCAAAAGTAGGCTGAAATATAACAATTGTGAGGATAGCACAGGACCGGGCATTGTCTCCAGGTCTTGCGAGGTTTCCACCTCAGGCAGGGTACACACAATCTGACCACATTCAAGCCCTCCTATTGGTGGAACACACTTTGAGTTTTCTTTTTCTCATAGGTTCTTGGCATGTGGCTTTCTCAGGCTTTGCTAGTAAAAACCATTGAACTGTATATGTAAAACATAAAGGGGCCATTCTGGGGCTGGACCCTGTCCTGGATCCTCTGGTTGTCCATTCCCTGGCTCCTGCTCTGGAATCCTCCTTGAAACAGAAGGGCACATCAGAGCTGGCACTCACCTATGTGTGTGTGTGTGTTCCTGTGTGTGTGTGTGGTCAAACAGAGAAGTGAATCCACCCTCAAATCCAGCCTGGCAGAAATCAGTCAGAAAGATGAACTCTGAAGCAGAATTAAGAAACCAACCCAGAATCCCACACACTCGTGGCCCTGGAGGGTGAGCCGGACAGGGTTTCACCACCAGTTCCAGGGTAAAACACTTGTCTGACTTCCCAAACCAGAGCTCTGACCCCCAGCCTCGCTGCTCGTATCCCTTCCTCACCCTACGACCACGCCCCTGCCTAGAGAGGACACAGACCAAGGCTTCACACGTTTCTCCATCTTCCCATCCCTGGGGACGGAAACAAGCCAAGTCTTCACATGTCTCTGCCTTCCCCTTAATATAGTAACTTAATTACCTCGGTCTAAGGTGATCACTTTCCATTACGTGCCTCTGAACTTAACTCAGCGAATTAACATTTGTGAATAGGATTCAGTTATGAATTTTAATGACTTTCATTCATTCATACTCCAAACAGATTACAGATTCGGCGCTTTATTGAGTATGCTTATTGCCACTTGATTATAGTCACTTGCGACAAAACGACATAAAATATTCATAAGAAGAGGCAGCTCACGGATTATCTCTCCAAGTGGCACACAGAAGGAATTTTTTTTTATAAAGTTACCTAATGTGACTCATCGCTCCCTAAAGACATTCTGAATTGATTTTTACAATTACAGCCGGTGCTAGAACAGGTGTGAGCCACAGCGAGGTGACAGGTTAAAGCAGCAACTCGACGAGGGGCATTCCTAACAGGTACCTTCACCTGCACACTCACAGCCCAGGAGTTCCACTGGCTGCTCAACACTTCAGAACAGAGGTGTCCCTGATGACACAGAATTTAGAGGCTGAGAAGAATTACTCAGCATCCCTGGTACGTTCCACAGGTCTGTGTTTGACTAACCTCAACGTCGGCTGCTTGAACCCACCCAGCAGTACAGCGGAAGAAAGTCCTGGTGATCTGCTTCTGAGAAGATTTTAGGTATCGTAGAGTCAGGTATCCCCCAAGTGACGGAGTAGAATTGCCTCACAGGATTCTCTAAACTGTGATCTTTACAGGACCAGATTGCCTTGTCTTTCTCCTTTGAAGCCTCGGGTGGATTTGAACCACCAACCTTTCCATCAGCAGCTGAGCGCTTCACTACTACACTCCCAGTACTCCTTTCCGTAAAGATTCGAGTAGGCCCTGTGGAGCAGTTCCACTCTGTAACACACGGGGGCGCCATGACTCGGCATCAACTCCACAGCAACAGGCTTTGCATAGGTGGATGGCTTTCCAAGTTGGTTTTGTTTTTCATTTGGAAACTTTGCTAAAATGTATGACAGAAGTGGTTCTGGATAACAAGATAGGCAACCCAAAGTCACTACTACAGTCATCAAGCTTAGAAATTGATGTTGGACAGGAGGCTTGGCCGAGTGGCCAGAGCCTTAGTGGGAACAAGAATCAGGACACCCCAGGCAGGCAGAGGGCACAGCGGAGCCAAAGACACAGACGGAAAGCAGAGGTCAAGAGCGTAAGTCTCAGGAACTAGAGTGGTCGGTCTCGGGGTGGCTGGCTCGGCCATGGTTTTACCAGAACCCTTCGGGGTAGCCCACCATCACTGCAGATGAATCCCCTGAGGGACCGGGGTGAGGACCCAGCAGTGGGTCAGCTAGTGTGTTCTTACAACTTTTACAAGCTGAGAAGCAAGCATTATTTTGTGAAACTTGCTGGAGATATGTTTGGGGAAAATGTTACATTGGATATATCCTTTCAATTTAGTTATCAATCTGTATGCTGAGCATATAGTCTGAGAAGCTGGATTGCATGAAGAAGAACGCGGCGTCAGGATTGGAGGAAGACTCAGTAACAACCTGCGATATGCAGATGATACTTAAAATAGTGATGCAGATCAAAGACCACAGCCTTCATTACAGATGGGATCTCTAAGTAAAGAAAACAAAAATCCTCACCACTGGACCAATAAATACATCTTGATAAATGGAAAAAAGACTGAAGTTGACAAAGATTTCATTTCGCTTGGATCTACAATCAACACTCACGGAAGTTACATCCAAGAAATTAAATGAATCTGCTGCGCAAGACCTATTTAGTATTGAAGAGCAGAGATGTCAGCCTGAGGACTAAGGTGCGCCTGACCCAAGCCATGGTATTTTCAATAACCTCATACGTACGTGAAAGCTGGACAGTGAATAGGGAAGGCCATACAAGAATTGATGTACTTGAGCTGTGCTGTAGGAGAATATTGAAATTACCATGGACTGCCAAAGATGAAAAACAAGTTTGTGTCGGAAGAAGTACAGTCCGAATGGTCCTTAGAAGCTCTGATAGAGATACTTGGTCTCGGATACTTCCGACATATCATCAGGAGGGACCAGTTCCTGGAGAAAGATATCATGCTAGGTAAGTTAGGGGGTCAGAGAAAAAGATGAAGACCCCTGATGAGATGGATTGGCATGGTGGCAGCTGCGAAGGGCTCAAGCTCAGCACTGTTTGTGAGAGTTATGAGGATCAGGCAATGTTTCATTCAGTTGTGCATAGGTTTGCTCACGAGTCAGAACCAACTCAACGGCCCCTAACAACAACATTATACTGAACACAGAAAGAGGCTACAAGATGTTCATGGCAAAATGGAATAGAAAGCTAACGGAATTTTTCAAAGAACTTCCTGAAGCCCCTTCATGTATCGAACCAGAGCTGTGTTCTCTTGCTTTCATCACAGAGCACTGGGGATCTGGTGGAGAACATACCCATGCTGGCTCCCATTTTAGCAGCCAACGCAAGTCACATGACCATGCTTCACTGGAAGGCTGTGAGCTGCTGAGACCTCGGTCCCTGGTTCTCTGCACACAAGCTCCCAGTCACACACAGAGCACCAACCACACCAACACACCTGTGCCTTGGTTGCCGGGGCGTTACCTCGGCTGCAGAGCTAAAAGCCCAAGGATGCTTCCCTGGACACAGGGGCATGGTCACTTCTGGGGCTCACTTACTATTGTAGACTGACACCAAACTGCTGGGTGGGCAGGGGCGGTCTAGGCGGCGGTGTCTTGGCCGGAGGGGGCAGCCTGCCCATGTGCAGGTTCCGGAGTTTCTCGTCGTACCTGTGGACATGACAGAAACTGGGTTGGCACCTGCAGGGCTGCCTCAGATTTCCAGGGACACACAGCCACACATCCCTAACCTCTACCCCCTCATGCACACACACAATCCCCACAGCATGGGGGTCTTCTACACCAGTGGCAGGAGGGGGCAGTCCACCGCCTGTCTAATTCCCAAAACTTCCTACCAGCTCCATGTCAGATGGCCCCTGTGACCAGCAAGGAGTTCAGCCTCCAGGTCTGGGTGCATACCCCACCAATCTTGTGAATTTCAGATGCGATTCACTGGGCATCTGAAATTCACAAGGTTGGTGCAGTGACTAAGGATATGGGAAAGTTGTAGCTCCACCAGAGTAAAATGAGATCTGGACAGTCATAGCAGCTACAGCTAAACTGTAGGTTCTTCCCTAACTATCTGTCATAGTCAGTTACTGCTGTTGCAGTTTTGCTAGAGATTAATCGTTTCTCCTTTTATTTGATAGCTAATCCCCACTCGAAGGACTATCCCTGGCTGGCTAGCTGGTTTATGCTGTTGAGTTGATTCCAAATTACAGCAACCTTGTATTGCGTTCCCAAGGCTACAAATCTTTACAGGAGTAGAAAGCCTCATCTTTTCCCAAGGAGACTCTGGTGGCTTTGAACTGCCAATTTACGGTAAGCAGCCTAAACCCACAGAGCCACAAGGCCAGGGAGATAAAATAGAACACTTTGGATCCTAGATACAAATTTTGTTTGTGTTAAGCCTTGTGGACGCCAACTGCTGACCTTGCTGTTAGGAAGTCAATGAGTCACCCACTACATAGCAAAGGCTCTGTATGGACTGTCCCTGGAAAGGAGAAAAACAGCAGGCCATATTTTGTGATGGCCCCTAATAACCACTGCTGGGAAAAAGCCAATGATATCTGTTAGAGACACGTCCAGAACGGTCAGTGAGATTTGAGATAAACAAAGCAACAAAGAGTTTTCTGAAATTCCTTTCGTCCAAGAGCCCTATAAATTCTTTCTCCCATTTTTGCTTCAGGGAGACAGATCTGGGAGAGTCCTGCTCCCCTGTTTTCCTGAGTATCGACACACAATCAATGCTTTGCTCTTTGCTCTGAGCCCTGTTTCTAAGGACTGACTCATTTAGTGACCCGTGATTAAGAACCTTTCTTCTGGTTGTACAGGGACTACTTCCTTCCTGCTCGTGGTCTCTTGGTCCTGAGAGACACAGCTGGTGGTTGTTAGTTGTTCCAACTCACAACAACCTTGTGTATGACACAATCCAACTTTGTCTAGTGTGTGACTCATTGTAGGGATTTTTGTCAGATCAGTGGATATAAATGTGAATGAACAGATGAATTGCAGAGAGGACAGAGACAATGAATGAGGAGGACACAACTTGGTGGTGAAAAAAACGCTGGTGTTCAACAGTTCACCCAGGACTGTGGTGCTCACTAACTGCCTTCACACACATAGGTACTTGCTGAGGACCGACTCTGAGATATAACTGTGACACAGATGGACCCCAGCCCTGCCCCAGGTAGGTGCAGACACAGGGGATGGTCACCCAGGACCAACAGGGTGGTCAGAGAGGGTGGTGTGAGGCTGGGAAGGGCTGAAGCTGGGCTGACCATGAGTATGAGGAAGCCTGGATTACACATGAAGGCCAGGGCCTGGCTCCCTGGGTCTCAGGCCCACGGTCTCCACATCAGAGGGCTTCAAATCCCCACTGAGCAGATTGGGAGACTGAGGTCTGGTGAGGCCAAGCTGGGACTGCAGCCGTAGACTCAGGATTCTATGGCTGACCTGCCCCTACCAGCCTTCAGTGCTCCTAGCAACTAGGGGAGGAGACTGTAAGCTGAGGATTCGAGGTGCCCATGGCTACTCCAGCCGCCTCAGGTGTAGATCCCTAATGCCTGAGCCCACACTCCTTCCCTTGAACCTTGTCACCCTCTGACCACAGGTCATGGTAAGATCAGGCAGGGGGTCTCCTAAATACCATTCCATTTCATCCCAATCCAACCCTCCTCAGAGCAATCCTATACATCCAAGCCTCCCTCATAGGATTCCTATGAGAACACCAAGTCACCTTCTGTCAACAGACTTGTCAGAGGAGAGCTGCTACAAAATACATTCTGGAGCATATTTCAGGTTTCCAGCCAGTCCCTCTCCACCCCACCCCCATCCCACACATACACTACAGCCTGGTGGGTAGGGGGGTCTCCACAAAGCCCCCAAATGACCAGGGGTTCCCTTGTGCACACCTCCCCATGGCCCCCAGGGGTGGTCCCCAGATCCTGCACATGACACCAGAGCCCTCCTGAGGTGGCGGTCCTTAGCTCCCTGTGCCGGGACCAGGTAACTAGGGACCACCACCTCAAGAGGGTCAGTAATCTTTGATCCCTCCACTTGTTCCCCTTCATGTGTGTTTTTCTGAGAAATCACATCTGCAGGAGCTGACCCTCCTGGCTCGAGGGTTAATCTGGACATCACTTCAAGAGTCACCTCCTGAATCCTCCCATCTACTACCCAAAAATAATGTTCAAACATCGAACTAAAACTATGCCCTGAAGTCATCTTTAAACTCAAATCTTACTCTTTTAATAAAGCAGGTTTGCCTTGAGCAATGCACTCTTTTAAAGAGCGATCTGTCTGAGACCAGACAGGCACCAGGAATGCTCAGAGAGATGAGACTATTAGGGGGCAGAGGCTGAGTGGACGGTGACGAAACAATACTGGCAGAGAATGGATAAACGATAGGATGTCCATAATAACCACCAATGTAAGAACTGTACATCTAAGAACGGTTGAATGGGTCTTTGCTTTCTTGTGTATGATTTCACTCAAGATAAAAAATGAATTAAAAGGAAAAGTCACCTCCTCCAGGAAGCCTTCCCTGATTGCCTTCTCTGCCCCATCAGGACTGCTGCCTGCTATCCCTGTCACCACTGCCTGGGAGTGTCCTCCCTCTTCCACATCCCTGCACCCCTGGCACTGACATGTGTCCTGGCACACAGCAGAAACACCGCAAACACGGGGCAGGAGGACAAAACATCCCCGCCGCCCCCTCCCCCCCCCACACACACACATAGGGCTGCCAACCTCACTTTCTGCCCTTGCTGAAGGTCTGCTCTTGCGGATGGAGTTGTTTCCCAGCTTGCACTGGGGTAGGCTGACCACCCTCTTCTCTAGCAGCCTGCGTTCATCCAAGTCTACACTGAAACTGCTGGAGAAAACCGAACAGCAGACACATTCCAGACAAGGCTGGCAGGGAGCAAGGAGCCATCAGACGGGCTGCTGCTCAGAGCACCCACACTGCTGAGAAATTCCCATCATGCTCTACTCAAAATCGTTTGGACCCAGCTGCTGGGGTTGGGGAGGAAAACCCCATCCACATCTGGCATCTGTTCCGCTTGGTTTCTGCCTCCCTTGTCTTCTGGTTGCACGTCACTGTCTATGCACAGATTTTGGAGCTGAATTGGGCCAGGTACATGCTGGAAATCAGCTCTGGGTGTTTCTGGACAGGGAGCCCTTGGAAACAGAGATCTCTTCTCCGCATCTCAGATCACGTGACCTTTGACTCACCGGGCCACTTCCAGGGGGACAACCAGCTGGTCATGCTCAAGGTGTTCCCATAGCTCGCTCAAATAGTTGAAATAGGTGATTTTTTTCCCAAACTTGTGGCTGAAAAAAAAGGAGACGCAAGAGAAAGGAAACGATTAGGCAGTGGCCGTAGGAGGAAGCGCTGGATCACGGATGGTTTGAACTGCAAAGTCAGTGGTTCAAACTCACCAGCTGCTTCTCAGAAACCCTATACAGGGTCGCTATGAGTCGGAACCGACTTGACAGCACTTAACAACAACAAGGGAGGCTGGGGAAGAGGGAACTGGCAGTGGACAGAAAGAACGAGGTGGACATTTTCATATGAAACCAGAATCAGAGATGCTGTGCTCCCAAAAGATGGTTCAAACACTCTTCAGAGCCTCATCTCCGTAAAAATAGCTATCTGCCGTCAGTCCGGAGGATTTGCAGAGATGCAGGTGATGCTGAGTGTCAGGGGACGGCAGGTCTACCGAAGCCACCAGGCAGAAGAGGAGCTCGGAGTATGGATGGTGACAAGGCGTGGGCAGGTGAGGCCATTACTACTGAGGAAGGGTGGGGACACAGGCTCCGTGACAAAGATCCACACATGGACCATCTGAACCAGGTGGCTTAAAACACAGAAATTCCTCCTTCCATGGTCCTGGTGTGGTGCTGCAGGTTAGGCACTAGACTGCTAACCACACTGAGTTGGCGGTTGGAGCCACCAGCTGCTCTTCCAAAACTCTATACAAGGTCACTGAGTGGGAACCGAGTTGACAGGACTTAACAGCAACAGTTCTGGAGGTCAGAAGTCCAAATCCAAGGTGTCAGCAGGGTCAAGCTCCCGCAGAGGTTCTGGGGGAGGACCCTTCCTCGGCTTCTCCAGCTGCTGGTGGCCCACGTGTTCCGTTCCTGGGCTTGCGGCTGCATCACTCCAGTCTCTGCCTGCACCCTCACATGGCTGTCTGTCCATCGTCTTTGCCTCTCTTTCTTAGTGGACACCAATCACATTGGATTAAGAGTCACTCACTCTCCTCCAGTCTGACCTTGTGTTAACAATTACATCTGTGGTTGTTGTTAGGTGCCCCTGAGTCGGTTCTAACTCTCAACCCCACACACAACAGAAGGAAACACTGCCTGGACCTACACCATCCTCACAGTTGTTGCTGTCTGAGCCCAATGTTGCAACCACTGTATCAGTCCACTCTGAAGATCCTATTTCTAAGCAAGCTCCCATTCACAGGTACCGAGTAACAGTTTTGAGCAACTGTTTTGGGGGGGACACAATTAACCTGGAACACACAGTCACTGGGTCTGGCGGGGCTGGGCACAGTTCATACGAGGGGACAGTCACAGCTGCTCTGTGATGTCTGAGGGGGGCTACTTCTTCCCACCTGGCCATCCCCTCTCTCTGGGAGGGGTCCTGTGAAGCAGGGACCACGTGAGGCACTCTCCTAATGACTTTTGGTGACAGTGGAGATTCCCAGGAGCATGTATAGCTGAAGTCAGTCACACCAAGGCTGAATCCAGAGTCCCCACCTTCTCCTCTTGGTTCCCCCGGCAACCACTGAAGACCAGAGAGGCTGTTACATTACCCAGTACACTGCCTGACACCTGGACACTGTCTGACACCTGGGGCCACAACTTCTGTTAGTGAGCTTCAGGTCTCTTCATCTGTGAAATGGGGGTGAAACTGTCCCTGCTCCGGGAGCTGTTAGAAGGACCAACAATTCACAAAGGTGAAATGCCCAGTGCGGTGCCAACACTAAGGAAGTGACCACTTCAGTCTGCTGATGGACCTGGAGCCCGGAGTCCTGATGGCCAAGCTATGCACGGGCTCCCCCTAGTGGACGAGAGCGGCCTCTCCTGCAGCCCAGGGAGTTCCATGCAGGGGTGCGCAGTGCAGGGGACCTGAGGTGACCAATGCATGTTGACAGGGATTTCCAGTACTTATGCTGCCTGGGGGTTCTCGTGGTGCGTAACCAGGGACCCAGGGGTGTGTCCGTGTGGCTCACCATTCAGATGCCACAGAATTTGAGGGCGCCTGAGCTTCCTCCATGGCTGTTAGTCCTGAGGCTGCTGAGAGACAGTTGTTAAGTGCCATCAAGGCCATGCCAACTCAGAGTGACCCTGTGCACAACCGAACGAAACACTGCCCGGTCCTGCACCATCTTCACAATGGTTACATTTGAGTCCATTGTTACTGTCACTGTGTCCATCCACCTTGTTGGGAGGTCTCTGTCTTTTTCGCTGACCCTCCACTTTACCAAGCACGATGTCCTTCTCCAGGGACTAGCCCCTCCTGATAACATGTCTGAAGCATGAGTGACGAAGTCTGGCATCCTGGCTTCTAAGAAGTACAATTAGAAGTACAGCCTAGTTCTCCACTAAGAAGAAGAGACAAAGACCAAGGACAGACAGCCATGTGAGGGCGCAGTACTTCTGACTGTACTTCTTTCTCCCAACACAGGTTTGTTTGTTCTTCTGCTAGCCAATGGTGCTCTCAATATTTTTTGCCAACACCATAATCTAAAAGCATCATTTCTTCTCCAGTCTTCCTTATTCATTGTCCAGCTTTCACATGCATATGAGGTGATTGAAAATACCATGGGTCAGGTGCACTTCAGTCTTCAAAGTTGACATCTTTGCTTTTTAACACTTGAAAGAGGTCTTTTGCCCAATGCACTAACACATCATGAGGATTTCAGTGGCTCATCCCTCAGAAGTGGACCTCTGGGTCCGTCTGCCTAGTCTGTCTTAGTCTGGAAGCACCACAGAAACCTGTGTCTGGTGGACAACCCTGCTGGTCATTAAAATACTCATGGCCTAGGTTCCAGCATCACAGCAACACACAAGCCACCACAGTACGACACCCTGACAGAAGAGGGGTGGACTGAAGAACACAGGGACCTGCATCCATGAGAATCTTCTGCCAAGATGTAGGTCAGCTTCAGAGATTGGGTGTGTGGGGGAGTGAATGTCACGATGCCCAACCCTGCCCAGGGAGACACCCCCCCCCCCCCCCACTTCCCTCTGTGCTTCTTTGAGACCCTCTGGTACCAGTCAGGCCAGGGCATGGATGGGCTGAAACAGACACAGCCTCCCACCCGAGTGTGCAGTGGAACACCTGGGTCTGTTAGAGCCATCGATTCGGGCCCAGGAGTTAGAGAAGGTTTTTGGATAGGCCCAGAACTCCCTCTTGAACTAGGCCACTTCCTCCACTTTCAAGTGGGAACTCGGGGGCACAAGGTGTCATGATTACCAAGGGCACATGGAAACAAGGGGCAGTCCTGTCCCAGCCCCAGGGTTCCCCGCCCCAAGTCCTGTGGTCCCTTCTGGCACCAGACTACAAGCGCCCACGCCTGAGTGGGGATGAGGGCAGAATTTGCTGTGTGGTTCTGGACATGTTCTTTAACCTCTCTGATCATCGACCTCATCTCTGAAGTAGGAAGAATACGACCCACCTCGTGGAGCTATTGTGAGGGTCAGCTGGCACATAGACAATGCATAGAAATTAAAAATAGTCCAACAACATTTTTTCAAAGACAATACTAGCAGCTAATCCTTCCTGAGCATTTTCTGGTGCCAAGTAGGCCCTTTGTAAACACTTCACAGGCCCTGGGTTACCATAGCAATGGTGTGGCATGAGGGCAGGCAGACCTCAGAGATATTGTGGGTTTGGGTGCAGACTAACAAACGAAGTACATGTCGCAATCCAGCGGGTGGCTCGAGTGTTTTGGTTTCTCCGTGCGTCTAAGTCACGCTGACATCAGTCCGTAGTCTATGAAATGTGCCCAAGTGTGAAATCTTGTGAGAACCACCAGCGTGTGATACAGAGGCACAGAGGGGGCATGAATCATTGTGGAAAAAGCCGCTGATAGACTTGCTGGACACAGGGTCACCACAAAACTTCCATTAGCTGTTGTCGCTGTTGTTCGGTGCTGTTGAGTCGGACAGTTCAGGTTCAGAGAGACTCTGTACTCAACAGAACAAAACACTGCCTGTCCTGCCTCAGCCTCACAACTGCTGTTCATGGCTACTGCCACGGCGCCTCTTGCTCACCATCCAACTTTCACGTGCATGTGAGGCTTGGGTCAGGCGCACCTTAGTCCTCAAACTGTTATCTGCTCTTTTTATAGACACTGCAGTAAATAAGGTGACATCTGTGCTATAAAGTGCAATAAGGCAAAATGTGCTAACTGAGGCAGGCCGCAATTGCCTCTCCAACCCCAGAGCAGGGGCAGCCTTCTCTATGCCATCTTGGCTGCGGGAAGTAAACAGAACAGGTAATAGGGGATTTTTTTTTTTCTTTTTCAAGAACTGGAGAGCTTTCTGGAGGTCTCAGAGCTGGTGCATGCAGACCCTGTGGGCTGGGGGTCTCCAGCCCCTGCTGTGGAGACAGGGAGCCTCTGGGGCGTCCACTTGACTTATTTACCTCAAGTAAGTTTCTACAGACGAGCTCACAGCCTGAGTTGTGTAGTTGAGACAGCTGGCCTTTTCCCACCTGAAACCTTTCTAAACCCCAAGCAAGCCTTTGTTTGGGGAGTTATGATGGTGGACTTGGGGACCCCGACGTGAAGGTGGACTTGGGGACTCCGATGTGAAGGTGGACTTGGAGACCCTGACGTGAGGTAGATTTAAGGGCCCCGACATGAGGTGGACTTAGGGGCACTGACGTAAAGGTGGATGTGGGGCCCTGAGATGTGAAGGTGGAGTTGAGGGTCCCGATGTGAAAGTGGACTTGGGGACGCCGACGTGATGTGGACTTGGGGACCCCGATGTGAGGTGGACGTGGGGCCACACACGGCACCATAATGTGGCTTTGACCCAGAGGGCACTTAAAGTCCCAGGTGTGAAGCCTGCAGGACTCCTATGTGTGACAGTCAGAATGTTGTAGCGGACAAGCAGGGCCACACTCAATCCCCTGCAGATGCACAGGGAGGCAGGGAGGCTGAGGAACACAGACACCTCAGAGACAGAACCCCCAGACGCTTGAACAGGGCCAGCCCATCCCAGACACCCAGAAATGAGCTCTCTCCCCAGGGAGATGGTCCATGCAGCACCCACCTGAGGAGCGGTTTGAAGATGCTCCATAGGACCTTAATGAAGTTGGTGGGGTGTACCACGTAGAGAGCCTTCAAGTTCTTCTTGTACCTGAGGAAGGAGAAACAAGGGTGCCTCAGGTACTGAAGATGCCGAGACACCCAACCTCAAAGTACCGTGAGGGGCTGTGTTGTTCCAGAACATTCCATCTGAAAGGAGTCCACTTAAAGAAGATCAGCAAAAAAGGGAAGGGGCTCAAATGTGAGGAGAATCAGAAGTCGGGGGCCCCGAACCCACCTCTGGGCACTCACACAGCTCTTTACAGTTTGTATAGCCCCTCAGAGCTGATCAAAACCAGAACCAATGCCATCAAATCATTTATTACTCAGAGCCATCTGTGTAGGGTTCCATGGCTGCAAACCTTTGTTGTTGTTGTTGTTAAGTACCGTGGAGTCGGTTCCGACTCATAGTGACCCTGCACAGGGTTTTCAAGGGTGTAAATCTTTAAGGGAGCAGAAAGCTTCATCATTCTCCTGCAGAACAGCTGGTAGTTTCGAACTGCCGACCTTGAGGTTAGCAGCTCAATTCGTAACCACTATGCTATCACTACGTAACCACTACCAGAGCTCCTCACAGAAGCTCCTTATGGAAGCAGAAACCCTCTTCTTGCTTCTATGGAGCAGCTAGTGGGCTTGAACGGCCGACTTTTCAGTAGCAGCCCAGTGCTTATTCTACAAAGTGACCATCTGGGATCAGAGTCCCCTTTGACACCAGTGGGGGAAAACCAACTGTCCTTGTATCGATCAGGACTTACAGAGATCTTCTAGGGCAGAGGAGAGCTACCCCATAGAGTTTCCAAGGCTGCAAATCTTTATGGAAACAGACTGATGGATTCGAACCACCTATGTTGTAGTTAACAGCCAAGCACTTAACCACTGTATCACTAGGGCTCTTTACCAATGGGTTGGTGCAAACTGGAAAAAACTTGGTAACCCCAGTTTCTTTAAAAAAAAAAAAAAAAAAAGGGAGCCTGCAGGGCAAGAGGCAAAGGCAGAGGGAGCAGAAGAGTGGGCAGAATAGCTCAGGGCAGAAATAATGGAGCTTTACTTGCATACCTCCACTCACGGGGACCTCACTACCCCCAAACAGAAGCTTTGCTGTCTGGGTGGTTCTGCCACCTGGGAATGTTCTCGGCGAAGTCACTGCCCCACTGCCCCCTCCTGGTCGCTGTCCCTCATCAACGCCCTTCAGCATAGGCATCACTTCCTGTGACACGGAGCCCTGTCCCCAGCAGATACCCACAACTGCACTTGGCACAAGGCAGCAGCTGCATTTCCAGGAATTCTGAGGCCTTCTCCCAGGTGGAAGTTGAAGTGGGGCGCCAGCAGCCTACACCACCTCCTCAGGGACAGGAAAACACGGTTGGCAGATTTCCCTGCATTCATTACTTGGGCTGACACTTGGCATGTCTCATCACAAGGAATCTGGGGTGCATTTTTGTGGGGCACATGGGGAAGACGCAAAATGTGTATATGTTTCAGTTCAAGAAAGGCCACCAGGCACCCTCTGAGCTTTCTCAAACTGCCACTTCACTCCCCCTCAAGAACCTTCCATGGCTCCCACTGCTTCCTAAGCAAAGTTTAGCATCTTTAGCACAGCACAGCGTTCAGGGTCACAACTTGCCCTCCCTACCTTGTTGCCTCAAGGAGTTCTGCTAACGTAGTGGTTACAAATCGGGCTGCTAATCTCACGGTCAGCAGTTCGAAAGTACCAGCTGATCCACAGGAAAAAGATGAGGCTTTCTGCTCCCGTAAAGGTTTACAGCCTTGGAAACCTTATGTGGGGTCGCTATGCATTGGAACTGATTCCACGGCACATAACAACAACAACAACCTTGCTGTCTCACCCTACAGTTCCTACAAGAACCCAATGGTCCACTGCACCCAGCCTACCTGGCCAGAAATAATCTGTTTCCCAACTAGAGACACCCTGCCTGTCCTTCAAGGAGAATCCGAAAGGCTGCATCCTCCAAGCTGCTCTAGGAAGCTCATTACTTATTGCTGGCCCCACCCACACAGCAAACACTGATCTAAAGCTTGCTAGGTACAGACTCTCTCCTGCATTTGGAGGAGGCAGAGAGGCCAAGACTCACACACAGCCTGGGGCATGGGGCAGACTTGCTCCCAAGCACACTGCTTTGAGGTGTTGGGACTGGTGTGTGCTCAGGGACAGGGACAGGGTCAGGGTCAGGGACAGTACCACTGGTTCCTCCAGGACAGCCCAGGAAGGCTGCTGTTCCCAGAAAGACGTACGGCCTGGGAATCCTACTCAGGGCCGTAGTTAGTCAGAATCAACTCAACAACACTGGATTTGGTTTGGGTTTTCCTGACCGAATCCACAACCCCAAGGGAGGTGATCCCACACAGACCACCCCATCCAACCCTCAGTAACATCCCTCTCCCACTGCACTGTCTGTGGCCCCCTTTCCTGCCACAAGCAGCCCTCACTGTGGGGTCCCACCCGCCATGAACAGGGACGGTTCTTGGCCACAGGACATACTTCCGGTCAAACTCTTTGTAGGCATTCTGAAGCCAGCTCAGCGAGGGCTTGTTTTGGCTGTTGAGTCCGTAATGGAAGTATACCAGAGTGTAATCGTTCTCCACATACTGGTCCAGTGTATACTTCAGGTACCTGGACACACAAAAGAGACACCGGCGTAAAGCCACCCTCTATGTATCCAAGCCCACCCCCCTGAGGGCCAGCACTGAGCCATGCAGTGTTGTACCCAGAGTCAGGCACTAGGGGGCGCTCTCTGCCTATCACTGAGCTTCACAGAATTCAAACTCAGGACTCCACAGCCCACCTTTTATTCACAAGGCCGTCCAACCTTCCGTCTACCTCCCTTCTGTCCTATAGCAAACCATCTTTCTGACACTTGTTTTCTCTGTATAGACAGAATCTGCCCTGTTTCCACAGTGTTAGCACAACACAGCTCCCAGGATGCCCTGCCTCATCCTGGGATGTGAAAGGAGGGACTCCAGGACCACCTTGCTTCCAGGTGGCCCCGACACTGAGCCGGCAGATTCCACTTCTATGTCTGCTCCTCCAGCACAAGGGGGATGCATGCACACCAGCTCCCTGCATCAGCTGCGGAGGCCGATTGCTGGCCTCGCCCTGTCTCTGTGTGAGTAGAGTCGTCCCACCCAGTGCCTGTATGTAAGTCATGCCGTGCAGCTATGCAGTAGGTTACGATCCGCCACACAACAGGCCGCTGGTGCCAAGCAATCCACCCAGGTGCCCTTTCGGGAACCCAAATCAGGTGAGAGGAAGTCTGGTCATCCTGGTTTCAGAGGAGCACTCTGGCTGTATTTTGTTCCAACACAGATTTGTTTGTTCTTCTGACAGACCATGTGGTATAGTCAATATTCTTTCTCCACACCAAAATTCAAATACACCAATTCTTCTCCAGTCTTCCTTATTCATTGTCGTGTTTTTTGGTATGCATACGAAATGATTTAAAAACATCATGATGGCTTAGGTCAGGCGCACCTTCGTCCTCAAAGTGACATTTTTGCTTTTTAACACTTTCAAGATTTGCTCCAAAGATTTCTTGATTGCTGCTTCCATGGGCATTGATTGTGGATCCAAGCAAACCGAAACCCTTGCCTACTTCAATCTTTTCTGTCAGTTAAGGAAGTTGCAAGTTCGAATTCAGGGAGCCAACGCTAGAGGCAGGTTTTCTCTCTGTGCATCAACTCCCGGGGTAAGTAAGTCCTTATGTCTTTTGATCCTCTGCTCCTGGTGATCTCCATGTTACCTGACATTTCTCTTTCCCCGTCTCTGCTTCTTGCTTCCCCATGCTTGATCTACTCCTTTTAAATCTCAAAAGTGATTATAGCAAAACATCGTCTAAGCTCTCTAATGCTGTTATAACAGAATATCACAAAAAGATGAGTTTAACAAGCAGAACTTAATCCTATCACAGTTTAGGAGGTTAGAAGTCCGAATTCGGAGAGCCATCTCTGGAGAAAGGTCCTGGTCTCCTTTCAGCATCTGTAACCCAGAATTCCTTAGAGATCTCCATGTGTCTTGGCCTTAGTCTTCCTCTGGATCTAGGAGTTACACAGGTGAGTAACCCCCAAGTCAAAGGTTGCATTGTACCCTGGCACTTCTTTCTCGGTGCTAGTAGGCCCCTCCTCTGTTCATTTCTCTCTCCTTTTAACTCTTGCAAGATTAAAGGCTGCTAACCTAGTGTAGTGGTTACGAATTGGACTGCGAATCTCAAGGTCAGCAGTTTGAAACTACCAGCTGTTCCGGGGGAGAAAGATGAGGATTTCTGCTCCCGTAAAGATTTACAGCCTCAGAGACCCTGTATAGGGTCGCGATGAGTCAGAACCGACTCCACGGCACATAACAACAACAACAAAACCTCAAGGTTGGCAGTTTGAAACTACCAGCTGTTTCGCAGGAGAAAGATAAGGTTTTCTGCTCCCATAAAAATGTACAGCCTCAGAAACCCTGTGCAGGGTCACTATGAGTCGGAACTGACTCCAAACAGGAATAAAGGAATCCTGGTGTGGCGCTGTGTGTTAATGTGCACTGGATTGTAAGGTCAGTCTCAATAGCAAGGTCTGCAGTTCAAGCTCACCAGTCACTCCTCGGAAATCCTATACAGGGTTCCTTATGGGTCGGAACTGACTAGACAGTACTTAATTAACTAATTAACTACAACAACAAGATAAAGGGTGCTGCAGGCCACAACCCCAAGGAAACTTCCTTTCAACTGACTGGCTGTTCAGAGCAGATCTCATCATAGAGGACTGTTGTTGTTGTTGTTGTTAAGTGCAGTTGCGTCGTTTCTGACTCATAGCAACCCTGTATTGGGCTTTCAAGGAGAGGCTAATGAGTGTGAACAGCCAACCTCGTGGTTCAAAATGATCTTGCGGTCCGGTCCAGTGCTTTCTCTCATGGTGTCATACCAGGACTAAATCCTACTAAATCAGTCAGTCACGCTGACACAAAACCTTAACACATACCCTACACAAATCCTGTCTTACTAACACAACAAAGAAAACCTTATAGGGTTTCCAAAGATCAGCTGGTGGGTTTAAATTGCTGACCTTGTGATTTCTAGTTGAGTGCTGATCCCATAGCTCCACACCAGAACTCCACGGTTCTAATAGGATTGACAAAGCAATTTGTTGTTGTTGTTGTTAGGTGCCATTGAGTCGGTCCCAACTCATAGTGACTCATAGCACAACAGAACAAAACACTGCCCAGTCCTGGGCCAACCTCACAATTGTTGCCACACTTGAGCCAATTGATGTTACCACTTTGCTAATCCATCTCGTTGGGGGTCTTCCTCTTTTTCTCTGACCCTCCACCTCACCAAACATGATATCCTTCTCCAGCGACTGGTCCCTCTCGACAACATGTCCAAAGTATAAGAGGCGAAGTATGGCCATCTTGGCTTCCAAGGAGCACTCTGGCTGCACTTCTTCCAACACAGATCTATTGGTTCTTTTGGCAGCCCATGGCACTTTCAGTATTCTCCTCCAACACCATAACTCAAACGCATCAATTCTTCTACAGTCTTCCTTATTCACTGTCCAGCTTTCACATGCATATGAGATTATTGAAAATACAATGGCTTGGGTCAGGCGCTTAGTCCTCAAGCTGACATCTTTGCTCTTCAACACTTTAAAAAAGGTCTTGTGCAGCAGATTTGCCTAATGCAATATGTCATTTGATTTCTTGACTGCTGCTTCCATGAGTGTTGATGGTTGATCCAAGAATGAAGTCTTTGACAGCTTCAATCTTTTCTCTGTTGATAAGAATGTTTATTGGTCCAGTGGTGAGGATTTTTGTTTTCTTTACATTGAGATGCAATCCATACAATTGAATTCCATGCAATTGATCTTTATCAGTAAATGTTTTAAGTCCTCTTCACTTTCAGCAAGCAAGGTTGTATCATCTGCATATCGCAGGTTGTTAATGAGTCTTCCTCCAATCCTGATGCCATGTTTTTCTTCATAGAACCCAGCTTCTCGGATGATTTGCTCAGCGTACAGGTTGCTGTATTTTGGTGGTGGTGGTGTCAAAATTCAACTCATAACATCACCCTCGTCCAATACAACCTCGCCTGACTAAACAGATAACAAAATGAGTATTTGATTTCCTATCCACTACAGGCAAACTCAGCAACAAAAGGTTATTACTGGTTTCCATGATCCGGGTGGGAGGAAAAATGGAGACCTATTATTGAAGGAGTACTGAATTAATGTTAAAGCAAACAAAACCTGGCCATTGAGTTGGTTCTGACATGCAGCGCCCCCATGTGTTGCAGGGTGGAACTGTTCCGCTGGGTTTTCAAGGCTGTGGTCTTTCATAAGCAGATGGTCAGACCTCTGGATTACCTTTGAACTCACTAACTTCAGGCTTGTGGCCCAGCCCTTAATTATTAAGAGACCTACACTGACTCCATGGCAACTAACCATGGGCGTGTTTATGGACGGAGACAGCCAGGCCTTTCTTCCATGGAACTCCTGGGTGGGATCGAACAGCTAACCTTTAGGTCGAACATAAAGTTTAAGTTTTATAAACTAACATAAACATAACCTTTAAGTCGAACATAAACCATTTGGACCACGAGAAACACTGGGGAACAGATAGTGGTGAACACACACATGAAAATGGTCCAACTGGCTAATGGTTTTTAGGGATATTTGACCACACTGTTCAACTTGTGCTGGAGTCCCGCGGGAGAAGCTCACAGCGTATTGTGGGGAGGTGGTGGTTTTAGTGGTCACCACGTGACCCTCTGAGAGAGCAGATCCCAGGCTGGAGACGAGGTCAAGTACTTCTCTTTTCTGGAAAAGACTCTGCAGCATTCAAAGTTCACAGAGGAAGCCAGGGACCCGGGAGGGGAGCAGACCCAGGCAGAGGGTACACAGGTGAAGGAAGGAGACAGAGCGGCAGGGTGGAGGACAGGGAAAGGCAGGGCACACTTACTCCAGAAGCCGTTTGTGGTTGAGCTGGTGAGAAGGGGGCAGGCGGCAGCAGCTGAAGGTAATGACTCGCCTTCCAAAGTGATCGTCCCCTAGAGAGGCAGATGGACATGTGAGTCCAGGTGTCCAGGCACCACCACGAACAGACGTACCTCCCTGGGAAGACCCACCCGTAACAAGTCCAGCCTACTGAATAAACACATTGTTGTTAATTGCCATCTAGTTGGTTCCGACCCATAGAGACCCTGTATAGGGTTTCCAAGGAGAGATTGGTGAGCTTGAACTGCTGACCTTGTGGTTCCAACCAACTTTGCAAGCCAGCACGTTAACCCACAGCGCCACACCAGGACCCCATTGAATCAGCACACAATCATCCAAGTTTATCTTCACCAGGAGACTCTATACTGGAAGAAGGCTCTTCCCTTGCTGACACACAAAGAGCTCCAGTCCCAGCAAGATAGCAGCTGCAATGGGCTCAAAAAGTCACAACCATTGTGAGGAGGGCATGGTGCCCGGGAAGCCACTAGTGCAGGGCTACACAGTTGGGGACTGGGACCTAGATTTTGAATCTAGGGGCAGGTTACCTTAAAGTTCAGTGGCCTGAACTCGATGGTACATTATCGGGACATAGGCTGGAGAGGGAAAAGGGAGGAGGCAGAGTTCCTGGGTGGTAAAATGAGAGAGAAGTAAGTGTTCAGTAACTGGCCCAAAAGTTGGCTATTTGAACCCACCCAGAGGCACCTTGGAAGAACGTTCTAGCAATGGGCTTTCTATAAGGCAAGGTCACAGCCTTGAAAACCCTGTGACACAATTCTATTCTGCACATTCAAGGGGACTTTAAAAACTTTGTAGAAAAATGGAATTAAAAGAGAATGGGAATGAGACCCAGGATAAGCAAAGCAGTGCTTAATAAGAAGAGTAAGGTTGGAAACCTCTCACTCCCCGACTTCAAAACTTGCTACACGGCTACAGTGGTCAATTCTTATCAATGGAGAAGAGATTGAAGTTGTCAAGGACTTCTTTCTTCTTGGATCAACTATCAACACTCATGGAAGCAGCAGTCAAGAGATGAGACGACGTATTGCATTAGACAAATCTGCTGCACAAGACCTTATTAACGTGTTGAAGAGCAGAGATGTTAGCTTGAGGACTAAGGTGCGCCTGACCCAAGCCATGGTATTTTCAATAACCTCATCTGGATGCAAAAGCTGGACAGTGAATAAGGAAGATCATAGAAGAATTGATGCCTTTGAATTGTGGTGTTGGAGGAGAATACTAAAAGTGCCATGGACTGCCAAAAGAACCAATAGATCTGTTTTGGAAGAAGTGCAGCCAGAGTGCTCCTTGGAGGCCAAGATGGCTAAGCTTCGTCTCTCCTACTTTGGACACATTGTCCAGAGATAACAGTCGCTGGAGAAGGATGTCATGCTGGGTAAGGTGGAGGGTCAGAGAAAAAGAGGAAGAGATCCCCAACGAGATGGATCAGCCAGGTGGCATCATTGATGGCGTCAAGTATGGCAGCGGTAGTGAGGTTGGCCCAGGACCAGACATTGTTTCGTTCTGCTGTGCATGGGGTCTCTATGAGTCGGTTCCGACTCGATGGCACCTGACACCACCAACATACAGCCAACTGATTTTTGACAAAACACCTAAATATATCGCATGGGGAGGTGATAGTCTCTTCAACAGATGGTGCTGGCAGAACTGGAAAGCGATATGCAAAAGACTGAAACAAGACCTTCACTTCACACCTTATACAAAAACCAACTCAACAAGGATTAAAGACCTAAATGTGAATCCCAGAATTATGAAGGCCATCAATGAAAAAATAGGGACAAATGTGAGGGCGCTAATTCATGGAACTCCTAGACTACCAAACATTTTGAAAATCACACAAACAAAAGTAGAGAAAATAGATGAGTGGGACATACTAAAAATTAAAAACTTATGTGTATTAAAAGACTTCACCCAAAGAGTAAAAAGGGAACCCACAGAATGGGAAAAAAATCTTTTGCAATGATATATCAGACAAGGGACTTATTTCTAAAATATATAGGAAACTACAACACTTCTACAAGAAAAAGACAAATAACCCAATTAAAAAATGGGCACAGGACATGAACAGACACTTCACCAAGGAGGAGATCAGGGCAGTCAACAAACATGAAGAAATGTTCACGATCACTAGCCATTAGAGAGACTGGCAAATCAAAACAACAATGAGGTATCATCTCACACCAGCAATAACAGCAAATATCAAAAAGGTAGAGGACAACAAATGCTGGCGAGGATCTGGAAAGACTGGGACGCTCCTGCATTGCTGGTGGGATTGCAAAATGGTCCAACCGCTCTGGAAAGCAATATAGCACTTCCTCAGAAGGTTGGAAATAGAAATAACTTATGATCCAGCAATTCCTCTACTTGGTATTTACCCACAAGAAATACGAGCCATAACACGAGTATTATATGCACACCAATGTTCACAGCAGCACTATTTGCAAGAGCAAAAAAATGGAGACAGCCAAAGTGCCCATTAACTGAAGAATGGATAAACAAACTGTGGTACATACACACAATGGGATATTATGCTACCCTGAAGAATAACAAGGAAGCTGAACGCCACCGCATAACATGGATGAACCTTGAGGACATTTTGTTGAGTGAAATTGTTGTTGTTGTTGTCAGGTGCCATCGAGTCGGAACCGACTCATAGCGACCCCATGCACAGCAGAACGAAACAATGTCCGATCCTGGGCCAACCTCACCACCGCTACCACACTTAAGTCCATCAATGATGCCACCTGGCCAATCCATCTCATTGGGGGTCTTCCTCTTTTTCTCTGACCCTCCATCTTACCAAGCATGATATCCTTCTCCAGCAACTGTTCCCTCCTGACAATATGTCCAAAGTATGAGAGACGAAGCTTAGCCATCTTGGCCTCCAAGGAGCACTCTGGCTGCACTTCTTCCAAAACAGATCTATTGGTTCTTTTGGCAGTCCATGGCACCCTCAGTATTCTCCTCCAACACCACAACTCAAAGGCATCAGTTCTTCTACGATCTTCCTTATTCACTGTCCAGCTTTCGCATCCATATGAGGTTATTGAAAATACCATGGCTTGGGTCAGGCGCACCTTAGTCCTCAAGCTGACATCTTTGCTCTTCAGCACTTTAAAAAGGTCTTGTGCAGCAGATTTGCCTAATGCACTACGTCTTTTGATTTCTCGACTGCTGTTGATGGTTGATCAAAGAATGAAGTCCATGATAACTTCAATCCTTTCTCCATTGATAAGAATGTTGTTTACTGGTCCAGTGGTGAGGATTTTTGTTTTCTTTACATTGAGGTGCATATGGTCTTTGATGTTCACCAAGCATTTTAAGTCCTCTTCGCTTTCAGCAAGCAAGGTTGTATCATCTGCATATCACAGGTTATGTGTGAGCCTTATGCCAATCCTGATTCCATGTTCTTCTTCATATAATCCAGCTTCTCTGATTATTTGTTCAGCATACAGACTGAGTAAATAGGATGAAAGAATACAACCCTGGCACACACCTTTCCTAATTTTAAGCCATTCAGTGTTCCTTTGTTCTGTTTGAACAACTGCCTCTTGGCCTATGTATAGGTTCCTCGTGACCCAGAAAAGCTCCCTAAATGGTATATATCCTCAAGAATAAGAGCCAGGACACGAGTATATGAACTCACAGCCACGTTCATTGCAACACTATTCACAATAGCAAAATGACAGGACAGCCCAGATGCCCATCAGTAGAGGAATGGTTGATCAAACTCAGTCCATAGACACCATAGATTGAGGAACTTGCATGACAGTATACTGGGTGAAATTAACCCATCACAAAGGACAGATATTGTATGAGACCACTACTATAAAAGTCGAGAAGAGGTTTTCATTGTATAGGATAAGCAATGGTTACCAGGGTGGGAGGGAAGGAAGAATAATTCCCTGGATACAGTGTAAACATGTGCTAACTTGGTTGTGGGGAAGGCAGTTAAAAAGAAATAGAGCAAATGTAAAGGGAGATGTTTTGTAACAAAAGGAGGGGAGTGGTTGATCTTTCAGTCCACTAGCAAGAGGAGGTCCCTGGGACCATCAAGAGAGAAGAGGAGAGTGCAGGACCCTATCCAGAGAAGCAGTGACGCCAGGGATGGAGGCAGAGACGATGATGTGGAGAGATGGAACAGCTGGGGACTCTGGACTCAGGAAGGGAAAGGGGCTGTGTGCTGGTGGCCAGGGAGCAGGCTTGCACGGTATGCCCTTTTGTTGTTTGAGTGTTTATATATTCCTGAGTGTTTCAGTGTACATAAAAAAAAACACAAAAAAAAACAAAACAAAAAAACCCAAACAAACCCAGAGGGAATGGAAGGAAATGCTGTTGAGTGATGATGCATGGAGGGGATTGTAACCATGGCAATGAAATGAAATATGATAGGATGAATGTAAAGCTGATATTCTTCCATGTAAACTATTACTCAATTCACAATAAAAACTGAAAAAAAAGAGCATAATTTAGTGATAAAAAAAGAAATAGAGTGAAAAGCGAAGAGAAAAATGGAAATTATTTTCTCTCTCTTTTTTTTTTTTTTAACTTTTCTTTTTCATGTACTGGAAGGGAAACAATGCATATTTATATTTAAAAACCACACAGCTTATACACTATTTTCATTTTTAAAAAACCCAACAACCCCTGTACTAGTTGCTTTATTTGTATTAGCTAACAACTGGAAACATCCACAATGTCTCACAGACGGTGGTAAATTTCTTCCATACAATACTACTCAGTCTTGACACCAGATGGGGCATTGTTGCACCCAACTTGGGTGGATCTTGAAAGAAATGGAGTGAAAGAAATCAATCTCCAAAGGTCACATACCACATGATTCTGTGCATAGACGGTTCTTGAAATGACAAATTATAGAGATGTTATGATAGCTAAGGTTCTGTGTCAACCTGACTGAGCCAGGATTCCCAGTTGGTTGGAGGTGACTGGCTGTGTGCCGTGGAGTCAGTTCTGACTCATAGCTCCTGGGCAGTGCAGCCCTACACATGGAGATAAAGGTCCCGGCACAGGCCGA